ATAAAGTTTTATCGCAATGGATGTACAGTGGATGGCTCGCATTAAACACGAACCAAGCAATAAACATTGATTTGATATATTAAATTGCCATGTTTGTGTCCGTTTCTTTCGGCTTTTAACCACTTCCTCCACCCTCTCTTTCGTCTTTGCTCCTATCCATCCTCCCCTCGCTGTGCGGATGACGGCGTCGCCTGGCCGGACGTTGAGCTATGACCCGTCGCCTTGTCGCTGCCGTCGCCTGGCGGGCAGACTGCACTCTCTGAGGATAGCCGCCATGTAGCCGCTGACAGATTACGCAGATGCCATGGAGAAGAGGTCAGGCACAGATTTACTTAGCTTAACACCTGGTGATGACGGTGGAATGATAGCACAGACTGTCGATTACTCGATGATTATGTAAAAATATTAATACTGAATAGAAAGTAAACAATAAAGTGGCAATACAATTAACAAAAGCAAAATGTGAAACATGTAATTTCAGATAATCAAAGCCTTAGCTTTGGCATAAATCATCGTAAGTGCTCAATATACTGTGTTATATCTAAGAGACAAATGCATTTACTGGACTTCCCACGTTTCACCTATCCGCCAGGGGACACAGGAGCAAAGGAACGGGGACCGCGTTGAAAAGATGCCCTCTCGCGGGCGTGGAGAGGGAACTCTCTCCGCGTCTGCCGAGAGAGGAGGCGCCCCCAGCAGCGCAGCGCGTGTGAAAATACGCCACACACGTCACCGGAGAGCAACTGGTGCTGCTGCCCTGTAACACACTCGAGCCTTTCTTTCTTTTCCTTCCCACCTTGAAATATTTCTTTGTTTTCGTCTTCCTTATATCATTCGTCCTTGTTTCATGTTTCTTGTCATTCTTCCTTTGTGTTTCATTCTTCTTGTTTCTTTCTTTGTTTCATTCTTCCTTTGTTTCATTCTCCTTTGTTTCATTCTTACTTTGTTTCATTCTTACTTTGTTTCATTCTTGCTGTTTGTCATTCCTGCCTCCCATCTCCTCCAGCTGTACCTTCTTACGTTGACTCCCTTTTTTCCCAGCCCCTCCCTCATCCTGGTTTCCCCACACTCGTGACCACCCCTCCTTTTGCTGACTTTCACTTCTCACGTCTGCCTTTCACTTACTCCTCATCCATTTTTGTTCCCTCCTTTCACATCGTCTTTCCCCTCTCCATTCCTCGCCTGAGGCATTTTCAATCCACCGCTTCGGCTCGTGCTAGGTCTTCTGTGCGCTCTGCCCCGACTTCTTCCCTTCCGATCCCCCTCCACTCCGCCCTTCCTGCCACGCCTCCACACCTCTCCCCCGACCCTGCCCGCCCTCCCACCCCACTCGTGCAGCTTCGCGCCCGTGCTGCAAGGATGCACTTTAAAGGGAAGCGCCACTGCGAGCAGCAGACCAACGGGCGGCGCGACGGCGAGAAGAGGCCACAAAAGCGACTTGAGGGGGTTCCGCAGAGGGACTGGCGTTCTTGCAAAAGTAATGGTGAACAGTGTAAAGAACATAAAGCATAGGACCGACTTAGGTCCCGATGCTCGGGCCCGATGCCCCCCGATGCTCGGGGCATTGCAGTACCTCTGGCCGGGAGGTCCTATGGTTCAAGTCCCGCCAGTGGCAGAATTTTCGATACTACCTACATAGCTAGGTTGAATTCAGCTGCTGTCGGGGTGAAACTTCGAACGATCGCCTGCTCTGATCGGTGGTTTTTCGTGTTTTCTCCTATCCATGCCAGGCGAATGCTTCAGCAGTACCGTAACAAATGGACCGTGCAATTTTCCTTTCTTTTCCTTGCCCTACCCCACCCGTTACTTACGTACACTTTCATGCACTTCTCTACCACACATGTCGGGAGTTAAGAACTTGACCCGGTGCCCCACTGGTAGTTATGCCGATTGCGGACAACCTCGGAAACCGGGTGTAGATAGACGCCGAATCTCGCCGTCTAGTACGGTAAGGACACCGCCCTCCACGATAAAACATACACTATAATTATAGCACTAATGACGTGAGCATTCAAAGCCCTTGGAAACACTTATCAATGAATCAATAAATTATAGGAGATGGAAGTAGACGTGGAAGAAAAGTTGTGTAAAATTAATACGGTTTAGACCTTCTGTGATTGCGTGGATTACTATTTTAATACTTATTCTTTGTGTACACCTATAAATGACAAAACTTGGATTTTAAGAACATGACTTTCGTAGAAGATCCCCATCTAAAAATATATCGCGAAATATCACTGATATGATAATTGTCTTGTTTGCGGTAAGCTTCCGTTTTAGCTTTAACTGCTTGAGTATCCCGCTGAAAAACACTCGCTACGGTTTCTGAACGAGGAAGTTAACTATGACTCCGAGGGTTTTGTGCATTGTAAGCGGTACCTATATCAGCTGATGGTACTGTAATTCGGGATCGAGTGTATTGAGTAATCGATTTGAGTGTGAACTAAATAACAGTGCTTTTAGGTAGTTTCGGTAGGCAAAAACACTGTGATGAAGACGAATTACTAGAATCGGAATATGTTAGTGTCGGCGAAGAGTACGATGAAATGCCTGTTAACACAAATAGGTACTTAGTAGAAAAATACGGCAGTAATTGCAATAAGTCAGTGCCGCCGGTGACTATGTGCACTAGTGTGAATAACTTGAAAACACTAAGAACTCCAAAGATATTTAATGCCTATTTAGGCAATTTCACTTTCGGAGAATACATTTTAAACATGATATCGTAGATGTAGTGACAATGGAGAAAAATGAGGATGTCGAACTATCACTATTAGTGGATTATTATTATTATTATTATTATTATTATTATTATTATTATTATTATTATTATTATTATTATTTAAGAATAATTATATCATCATTACATCTTTATTACATCTTAAAGGATGAAATTAATAAGAAAGGATGCTTAAAATTATACCCGCTTTCTTTATCGCAATTAGAGTATCTAGAGGCTAAATTAGGAGAGTTTTTGGCGATAGAACAGTTACAGAAACAAAACAGACAAGGAGTCCCGTTTGCCTTCAAATTTCATGCGAAAGCAATAGCAGAGTGTCGACGCGGTGGTACCAATGACCTGATTTCTGAAGGAGCAAGGAAAGTAGTGACAGCGAAAGGGCTGAAGGTGATCAGAAAAGCGAGGCTTCGAATGGCTGTGCCGGCCGACGCGGTGTGCGAGGGCGCTTGTAGGAGATTTGCACGAACACGTTCGGCCATTCCATCTTCCTTTAATGGAGCGCACCCATTGGTGACTGTTGATTTGGAAACAGACCGCTCTAGCATATCTTCTGCAGTACACTCAAGTGATTTTTACGAATTTAAGAGTCAAGCATTTATTAAAAAATGTAGCGCTTGGAACAAGTCATTTCTGCAAACTCTACTTTTCCTTGTGCTTCATCTCGAAATTAGATCACAATTTCCCCATTATTATTTTGTCTTTCTTTAATTTCTAATATAAATGAAGCAACAATATTACAAGGAATATATAAAATAAATACTTCTTCACTTTTATAATAAGATTTCCGAGGTTGGTATTCCGGTGTCAGTTTGTCATGAACTTCATTCGTACTTGAAATATTTCGTCGAGAGATCATTGGTTTCAATATTTAGAATTGAAGTTTTCCAGCAAGTATAAAAACAATAGAGTAACTGAGAATAGCTTTTCAATTTGAAATTATACTACATCAGAGTCGAGCATCTGCCCCACCTTTTCTCACTCCATCACGAAAAAATAAGGAACTGAACTTTTGAATGTTTTTTTTCACGTGAAGATTGAGCGAAATAGTTATGTGTGATGTGACTGGTAAAGGTGACATTTTATTTTGAGTTGGAATGGTAGTGACACGAGGCCGAGAAGCCAAGAGTCACATTCCTAAAAGCAAAATAAAATAAATTTTACCACATGCATAAAAACATCATTTTTTACGGCCTTAAAGACATTGATTTTATTATAATTGAAGTGTATAAACCACTAAACGAAACATTAAATTCAGTAGTAGCTGATGCGTTCAGGCGAAAGTACTTTGTTTTCATTCTTTTGTTGCATTCACTGATTTATCTGAATACTTGAGCATCGTCTTATTTTTAGAACTAGTGCTAAAAATTGAACTTTTAAACTGCTACGCATGCTTTGAAAGAACCGTTTCACCCAGTGGCTTTCTAAAAAATTACGTGTTTTTTTCATTTCTTTTCCTACCTTTCTCACATTGTTTTCTTCTATTTCACATTCGTCCTTTATCATATTGTTTCTCTCTCTCTCTTTCCCCCTCTCTCTCTCTCTCTTTCTCTCTCTCTCTCTCTCTCTCTCTCTCTCTCTCACACACACACACACACACACACACACACACACATACACACACACACGCACTTTTGTCTTACTTCCTTTCTTTCTATCGGAAATGGAGTTCAATAATTGTTTTTGATAATAGAGAACATATTCTAACACAGGTTGAAGAGAGCAATTCATGTTTTATTTCATTTGCATTTATCAATATTTTTAATATTTACATATTCCATTATTGGTATCGATTAAGTGTATGTTAAGCAATACGAACTTGTTCTTAGTCAACTAAGGGTATGATGTAATAACGAGGAAAATATTTGGCTTTTTAGGACTCTTTTAAATCTGAGAAAGACCACGTGCATTTAAACGCACGTGATAGTCCTCTCTAACTCATTATAATTGTAGGAGGGTAACTTAAAAATAGCGCATCTCATGTGCTACATCAAGTGATAACAGTCTGAATGATTAATAACCATTCTATATTTAAACCTCGTTTGCAGTTCTCACGCTAACGTCTTTGGATTAGTCTGAGTACGCGAAAGACTGATCTCCAACATTCACCACATTCGATTACAAGTAAACAATAAAAATTCCACCTCGACACCCATACTCAATACACCTCTTATCACCTCCTATTAGTACAATTAGACATTAAAAGCGAACGTAATTTTGCAAATTTTACAATGTATTTCTTCAAATGAGTATCTAGTTTCTTAGACCGATTTTTGAAAAACGTTAGAGTAATTTGTGCGTTGTGAATGTCTGCAATTATAACTTCACTAAAACATTACCATAGAAACCTTAGGAATGCAGGTATTAGAATGCGAGTATTGTTGTTCAAGTTTTACATTTATTTACTACTTTGGTACATTTATTATTATTATACTGATTTGGAGAATGCCATGGCAATGCAGTGATATGCATGGAATTTTATTGATATGCAGGTTTTATTTGTCCTCCCAATATTTCAAGAACTACTTTGATATTATGAAGCAATTATGAATAACTGTGTGTTTCATGTAAAAATAACTTTTATAGTAACGATTCTGTGTTAAATATCATCCATAAAGTATACTTTTGTAATATCAATCAGAATGACAAAAATTATCATATTGCATAAATAAAATATTATTAATGTATTAATTACCTATTAAATAAAAAAATATTGCATATATCATTGGAAATGTTTTGTTATTGTAGTTGTTCGTGATTGAACTGTGTGCTTCACACAAATTTGTAATGAGTAAATCCTTTAAGCATATAAAATTGATTTGAACTGGCTTGAATATATGAAATTATTTTAAAACTAAAGGAAAAGTGAGCATTGGTATGAGATCGGAGGGGCGAACCGCATCCCGAACGCAATCTATCAGAAAAGATTCGCGTCTTTGTGCCGTAGGCCACCTGATGTCAAAATGTGTTAGTTTTAAAATCACATTGGTTATAAAATTCCAAACTCCGGAAAAGATTTTGTTTTTAAAATATATGAAATTACATATGTTACAGCATTTGGCAATAAGTTAATACTTCTGAAAGTTTGCCTAAAATATTTAAATTGTGAACTTCTTAAAACTGTTATCGTGTTTGAATGTAAATTGTATGTTTGAATGTATATTGCGAATAGTTACTCTAGTGTTTATTGCAATACAGCTACACTTCTATGTATGTAAGCTGCTCTACTTAGTTCTGTAAGGTTCCTTAGAGAAGTACTCTAGTTGCAGATAGTGTTAATGAGACGGTGCTCTCTTATCCACATTAAGCGAATGCATACATTTTATCATGAACAATTTTCTATGTGAACAATTTATTCTAATTAATTTTTAATGAGCGAAAATGACGTTAACATATCACGTAGTGCATACTTTTCCTATTTCAATTAGATCTGAAACGACCTTATATTTTATATTGACATCACATTTAAAACTATTTAAAAATCTGTGCAGAATTCACTAAGTTCGTTTTAGCTGATTTTATCTACAAATGAGATTTTACAACTCTTTCTCTACTTTATAAATCCCATATCGATTCTCAGTAAGAACCGCAGAATGCTGAGGACCCGAAACTCCACTTCCGAACCAAAGGATTAGGGTGGCGCCAAAAATCCTCATCTCCAGGGAATGCTTCGAAGTGCTAAAGCGGGAAAGCCGATTTGCATCCGATTTGAAAGGCTTTCAAGATGAGATTAGGTTGGAAAAGGAGTTTCATATTTTCTTCTTCAATTTGCACATTTGCAATCCTGTGAGTCCCTCAGTTCAGAGTTATCTGTATTCTACATAAATGCAGACAAGTTGATAGGTTCAAAATGTTGTACATGCCAGTAACGAATAAAATATAAGGAGAATTTGTTATAAAATTCAGAAAACTAATAGAATAATATCATTAGTTGTAAGCTGTTTCACACAACTGAATACAAGGCTGCTCCATCTACAAAAATATTATACGTTAAATTCATATTCAGATAATTATCCACATTTTGGGTACTAATTATCAGTGGTGTTTGGCTTCTTCTTGAAAGCATTCTCAATTATTCATTGGAATAAAACAGGATAATGCAAATCAAAGTTTTCTTTCTCATCAAACACTTTTAACAATTATATTCACTTGAAAAATGTACTTATGGATAAAATAATAAAAATTTTTCTAAAACCAAATGACATGTAAGTAGTAATAAACTACGAATCTTCGTAAAAATAATATTTTTGAAAGGCTTCTAAGACCCCCTCCTACAAACACAGCCCATCTAAAGCCAAATACGTATTGTTGTTTTTTCGTCAAATTGACATTACATTTTCTAATTGAAAATATTTGAAAAGTAAAAAATAACTCATACCATCTAAAAACCATTTTTATATTTTTTCTGTCCCAAATTTAAACTTTAACTGACAGGACCGTTTTACTCTGCCTTAGAATATGGACACAATGGCAAAACTAATCCTAAAACTACCTCTCAAAACACATGTCGTTATGAATTTTATTTCAATTTTTTAAATTGCTGGACCATCATCAAAAACGACTACATTTATACAATTTAATAATGTCTGTCCTCAGCTGTAGAATAATGGGTAATTTTTACATTTAAATTTGTCGTCGAGAAAATGCAAAAAAATTTTTTTTAAGTACACTCGTTTTTTCAAATAGAAACGATAATGACAAAAATTATAATTAAAAATCACATTTTTAGCTTAAAGGAGAGACGGTGGTGATACGGAGGCTAATAAATGTTTCAAAAGTCTTATTTTTATGTTAAACTAGTCTTATGTTGAAGTCGAATGTTGAACTATTCCTATGTCAATTGGTTTTAGGGAACGTTCGAACATCTTATCCTGGGGTGTCCTTTGTAAACTGATGTTTGCTTACCTTCTCTAACACTATATATTGAGTAGATTTCCTACGTTTTTATTCATATTAATTAGAAATCACTTTTACTTTATTTTTTCAAGCTTTCAAAATATATAAAGAAGCATTATTAGTATCAGAGCATTTCCTTAATATGAATTTTATATAACACATTTTCAAAATGGGAAAATATTTGAGGTACATGATGGTCTTGTACCATTTTAAACAACCTCGTGAAGCTGTAGAATAGATTTTCTTCAGTTTATTCAAATGAAACCTTAGATAAAATATATTATTTCCATCATAATTCATTTAAAGTTTAAGAAAATAAAATTCTTGTTTTCCAATCATTGTTACTGTGAAAGATAAAATTATTATTTTTTATGTTCAACATTATATTTTCAACTGTCGTAGAAATTATCTTCCAGAACAAGTTCATTTTCCCGTAAGAAGTATCACATTCCACTGGTTTTAGTTTCATTAGGTTATAAGGATATAATCTCGAACCTCAAAACATTTCCTTACAGTCATAAAACCTCCTACACTTTCAGTGTCTACAATTCATCCAATGTAATTGTCATTGCTTATTTTCTAAGTGACTAAACTGAACGAACACAAAGTCGCCAACTTCAAAATGTTTACAATGTTCAGTCACATTTGATATCACACTAATAAAATTAAGTTAAGAAACAACGCGAACATTTGTGAATATCTTTTGAGAAGTAAAAGAAAAAATCAATCTCTATGGTCATTAATGGTGGTCACTTCCCTAGTAACCAAATCACATCTTATCTTAACTATTTAAGAGTTTTCTAGAGTTTATTTAATTGATCACATTTTGTGAGTACGAGAGTGGCAGATTAGCAACTCAAAGGTATAGTGGAATCCTTCAACTCAAATTGCGAGACTGAAACGATCAGATCCAAACTTAAAATTAATCAGAGAATGAAAATATGAGAACCCCTTTCTAAAATTCCTTCTGGTAATCTGCTTAGAGTCTTACCTTGTTTTCTCTTTGTTTCAGGTAAGACTATTTTCCAAGAAGAAAAGCATAAGATGCTTGTTCCATATTTTTGGTAATGTTGAATTCAATTTGTATGACTTGTTGCTAAGAAAGCTTGAAATTGCAAGAGTACCATTAGCTACATTGTTTTACTGAAGACATCCACCCTGCGCAAAGCTACCCAAATAAGCCTCCACTCTTCTACGAGCTAAACATTTTTGGAGCTTTAAAATACACTAATGACGCAGTGTGGCGCAAGTAATTGAGGGAATTAATGGAAATTGAATGATGTTGATTATTGACCGCTGCCCCTTTCCGCCCAACTGTGGAGGATTACCTGCCCACGGCCCCTGTAGGATCGCTATCGTCTTGTCTGGAGTTGCTATTCAGCAACACAGTTCCACTCTTCGATCCGAAAATAGATCGAATCTGGCCAGGCTTATTATCAACACGGCTTGGATTGGAATATTAAGGGTGATTTAAATGACTTTGAAATGATGTCGTGCGCCAGGAAAGTCTGTCCACAGTGGCACCATGCTGGAGAGAGTGCTTGCAACAGAAATTATGTTGGTAGCACTAGCTGCAGCTTGAAAACGCAAATTGCGTACTCACCGCAATCATAATAGATGCTGCAAGTGTTGTTCCCTCTGTTTCCTAGTGATCTTGTTACTACCAACATAAATGGAATTTTTTAAAAGGAAGCCCTCTTTCGGCCTAGTGACAAAATCATTCTTGGCACACTGTACTATAAGCACATTTTATTCACCGCCGCAGCACGTCGTGTGCAAAGCGCGTGAACGCTGATATTGCATAGATGCAAGTGTTTTGTTGTCTAGGAATGCGACATCGATGTTTCTTTAAAAATATTAATGTTTTAAACCTTGATGTATTTAAGTCGATGATATTCAAACATTAATGTTTCGCGCTCAATGTTTTTTGCGTTTTCGATGTTTCGTTCCTGGATGAAAAATTCTCACAATCCCAATTTTATAAAAGTAAAAATATGAAATAACTGATTGTACCTCTATTTATGTGTTCGAACCACACGATCGCGCTTCGCTCTGCCTTCATTGAGCTGACTGTTTCTCGCCGAAGATGATCCTGGTAAATTTCGTCTTTCCTCGTATTTCGTACACGGGGATGCATTTTTAACTGTTTTAAGTTACATTTTATTTATACATTAATATACTAAGTCTCTGTCAAATAAATTTTTGTTGCGCACAAATTTAATGTTAGAGGTTATTAAACAAGCTTTAAATGATTTTTAAAAATGTGTGAAGAGTTATTAATATCGATGTTTTAATTTTGGACATAGATATTTGCCAACATTAGTGTTTTGTTGCCGCAACCCTATGGCTCTCATATCCAACATCTGGAGACGCCCCCACGTTATCATGAAGGTCATTAATTGCCTTCCATCTGTGAAGGCTCCCTTCATCGTTGGCTGCTGCCCGTCGCACCGACACTCTCCACTTCTGGTGGCGTTCGCGTTCCTCGTCAACATCCTCGTCTTCAACAGATGCCACACTAGTGCAATGTATTACTTCGAACACTTTTAACTGTTCCATTTTGCATCACATCATCGGCATACGACGTCACCGCGTCCGTCTCGCGCCTGTGAATTGAATTGAATTGAATTGAAGCCTTATTTTACGTGTCGAGACTCAGGCCACAAGGACTGTTCTTCCATCTGACCACGCAAATTTCACTACGCTCCTTTCACCAACTAGCGGAGAAAGGAGGTATATCTTCGGCGACGAACTGGCGATTTGAATTTGGCTCAAATGCGTCATTTAGACTTGAGGATCTTTTACATGTAAGTAAATATACTAACATGGGACAGACGGCTTTACTTCCCCTCCCGAGGAAGGTGTACGAAGGATTTTTTCGCCCTTTCAAATCCACGGCTTCGATCGGGTTTGAACCCGTCAACTTGGGTATACCAGTCCGATACGCTTACATTACAACATCGCCGCCGCCAATGCACTTTGTCGTGGGTTTGCGCGCCGGAAAACCTGATGTTTCTCTGCTACGAGCCTTCGAGTGCTTCTTCTGGCCGAGAGCCCTAGTAAACCTCTCTCTTCTGATAACCCTCCTGTTTCTACTCACCTCACCGAAAAGGTCGTTCTTCTCTGGGAGCGTACGTGATTCTCCTTCGACAGTCATCATGCTTCTGCCTGATCGCCTCTATGCTATTCACATACGCACGTCTCCCCATTCACTTGTCTCCTGTTTTGTATCGTCAATCCAATTGGTACTAATCTCTTAGAATACACGTCAGCGGTCAAGTTTTTTCACGTGTGAGGTGAATCGCTCTATTTTCGGTATAATTCTACGATTCAATAATGTGGGTATCATTAGGTGGTTTCTCGACTCGTTTTTCAACTTTTGCACGGGTTTCCCCTGTGTGAATGTCAATGACGTGTGCGGGGAATGCCTGTGCGGGGTCAGTGCGGGGAAACCTATATAATCGCAGACAGGAGCCTCTAGTCGCACCCCAAAGGGTTATGAGACTAGATGGGTGTCAGCGATGGCGTCACATTATTCATTTGTGCAAAGTATGTCCGAAACGTTCTTGGAATCATTTTTTTATGAACTATGCCACCTGTGAGCCACCAGAGGAACTAATTACTCAAGATATTTGAAAGCGACGGTTATTTTTTCTGTTAGTTTCGAATCCGCTGCAAAGAGTAGCAGGTGTTTTTTTTGTGTTAGTGAGCTTGGAGTCGGTCAGTGGGTGAGAACGAAAAAAAACGCGCGGCCATCAACGTTTGTCTCAGATGTGGGAAAACCGCGTCGGAAACATTTGAGATGATGAAACAAGCTTACAGTAATTAACGTATATCTCAGTCGACCGTGTACGAATGGTTCAAGCGATTCCGAATGGGGCAACAATCGTTAAGTGATGACCCAATAGGTGGACGTCATGCCAGTACCACTGACAAAAATGTTCTACGTGTGCGGAATCTTCTGGCCCAAGTTCGACGCCTGACATAGCGAATAATAGCAAGCGAGTAGAATGTACACAAATGTGTGGTTCACATAATTTTGCTTGATGTCATTGGAAAACAAAAAATTGCGCAAGGCTTGCTGTACCTTTTCTCACTGAGAAGCAAAAGGAAATTCGGATGAACGCATGCGCATATTTCATTGAAATAGCAAACATCAACCCGAATTTCCTAAAGTCTGACATCACAAATGACAAATCGTGGTGCTTTGAATACGATCCGTCCACGATACGCTAAACAAGTCAGTGGACGAGTCCCAAGAAACCGAAGCCTACGAAAGTGCTGGCCGTGAAGTCGAAAGTCAAAACAATGATTATCGTTTTCTTGCACTCCACCGGGGTCATCCATCAGGAATTCGAACCTGAAGGGCAGATGGTAAATGGTACATTTTTCCAAGGTGTGATGGATCGGCTTTTTAAACGAATTCAACGCGTGCGTCCAGCTCTCTATAGAAGCAAAGGCTGGTTCCTGCTACCCAGCACCTTCCTGCCCCATGCATCAACGATTGTCAAGCAGTTTCTGCCCATACAATGTAGGCTTTCACGGCCGGTATCTTCATCATAATTAGTTATTTCCAGGTTTGAAGGCCGTGGTCCAACGGAGACTTGTCCAGTTGAACAAGATCATCCAACATTTATTCGCTTGATCTAACACCAGCGGACGTCTTCCTGTTCCCCATGCTAAAAGCATGAAAGGACGTGGGTCTGTTTCTGAAATTCAACAGGTAGTGACAACCCACCTAAGACAGATTCCGAAGATAGACTTCTCTACAGAAGAATGCCCTACGGAATTCCAATGATTTCTAGATATAATGCCATCCCTGTGTTGAAAGAGGAGGCGATTACGTTGAACATTAAGTGAATAAAATTTAAAATGTACCAGAATGAACAAATTCCTGGACCATTTTGGGCAAACTGTGTAATATATCAGTAATATACTTTATATTATATATGGGTGTACAAGGTGAATAGGGATGAAACACCAAAACTTCGAAAATAAGCTCTTAAAACAATTTTAAGTATATTTTGTCTAATAAACTCCTTCGAGATTTCGAACAGCTGAGCCGCAATATGCACTCAAAAGTTGGTTATAAGAAATAATTTCTATACAAAAAATGCATTTCAGAAATTTGTAAGCACTTTAGAAACATGTAAGTAGTCGATAATTTACAATATAAAACAATATATTTGTTTACATGAACAAATTAACACAGGAATAGAGAAGCAATTGAATTGTATAAATTAGGTGATTTTTATTTAGAAAGTGAGCAAAACTTGATGCTATGCTTTGGAAGGGCAGTGAAATAGTCTCGCTCATATCCAACATTTATAGTATGTAAGATTGTAAGAAAAACTGAACGTACATGGCCTGCACCAAGATCCTGAATCGTAGTCGTATTTTGTTGTAGTGTCAGACCAGCTCCTTACCATACAAAACGCATTTGATTCTCTAGAGCGATTGTATTACTACTGTGACAACATGCCGTATCCTTCTTAAAATTTATTTGCATTCTGAAAAAATAAAAAATATATTTACTTCTAAAAAAACAAACAGTTATAAATTTTTCAATTATATGGAGAAATAAGTTGCTTGAAGTGTCTGGCTCCTGTTGATCTCTGCCATGGGTGGCTGTTTTCTCTGGGCGCCACTGCTGATACAACGAAACATGAATAACGGAACTATTTCACGGTTGATAGCAAGATCGTAATACCTCGGAAGAAACGTTTAACCTTCATCTCTTGATCATAATTGGAATAAATTCTTCATGACCGGCCTGGATAGCTGGGGTTGCTAAAGCTGAAAGGCCATAACTACCTCGGCACGAATGGACGCGGGTTCGAAACCCGCCCGGGACTATGTATGTTTGTGATGTTGTCCTTATGTATTCCTCTTAGCAAATTTCGATGTTCAAAATCACAGTGGTCGTTTTGTGACCAAACAGTTAAAAAAGATACGTTAAATAAAT